ATTATTATTATTATTATTATTATTATTATTATTATTATTTAATATTGTTATTGATTACCTTGCTGGCTGTGTGCTGCAGAACTTCTCTGCCCAGTCGTACATCTTGAAAGTTTACAGCTTTGCTCTAGATCTCAAGCTTAGCTGCATTATTCTTCGTCTCATGATTTAGTTTAAAAATTTTTTATCCTGGTTGGTGCGAAGAATTTTGCTTTTGATATTATATATTACTGGGAATCACAAAAAGTTTGAGTCCTGAAAGCTTGTTGCTGACTGGGGAAGAGTTTGTTAAAATTGGGCAAAAAAAGACTGGCAGCAGTCAATGCTACTCGTTTAGGCCTCGCCTGAAATTGATTTTTTTCTGAGGATAGAAGGGCTTTAGTTGCAAAGTGATCCTGTGACTTCTGCAGACCCTAGTATGTGTATAGCAAATGTGTGTGTGTTTGCGGGGTGTTTCTGTATGTGTGTATATGTGCATATATCATTTTTTATCTGCTGTGAAACGAGGGATAAGTGCTTTGCAAATTAAGCGTGCATGGCCTATCGAGAGGGCAACAATTCCAGATAGAAAGCGAAAAACGTGGACCCCAAGAACGACAAACTCGGCTTCTTCCATCCACTGCTTCAGAGGGGGGCGCTGCTGCCGGTGATCCATTCATCATCTAAGAGCGGCACTTCTTTTTTGAAAAATTAACGTGCACTCAATTAAACAGCAAAAAGCCATTGTGATATCGAGGAAGTACATCAGCTGAGTCATTCATTACGCATTTACTCATGCGAGAACATTGTCTGATAGCTCGTTTGGTTGGCTGTGGAGGCCCACGGCATTTTTTGTGCTGTGTAATCCGCACTGTACAAGTGAATTCCATGAGTGTTAAAATTTATAATAGTTGACCGGGAATTATTATAGTCTTTTATGCGTTTTGTGCTGTGTAACAGCAGTACAAATCGCATATTGTCACGGGGTTGTCTGTGTGTGTCCCACATTTTGTCCCGCACTTTCAACTCGGGAACCACAAAAGCTAGGCGGCCGAAATTTTAGAATAGTGTTCCCCGCCAACGGATGACGCGGCAAGTTTAAATTCAGCCTTCCCGTACCCGCGGGTAAAACGTACGGCCCCGTAAAAGTTTTTCAGGTAAAATCATTATCTCGGGAACCACGGGCGTTAGAGGGCTGAAAGCATGTCCCCCGCATGTGCGTCCCAGAAAATTTAAATTCAGCTTTCCCCTGTCCGCGGATAACAAGTACGACGCCGTGAAAATTTTTGACAGGTGTTTATCTCGGGAACCACAAAGTCTACAAAGCTGAAATTTTAGGGTATTGACCCCCTGCCTATTCAAATTCAGCGTTCCCGCACTCTCGGGTATCACCTACGGCTTCGTGGAAGTTTTGGCGGGTAAACTATTAACTCGGGAATTACGGAAAGATTTTCTCCCTTCAAGGTCTCAAATTCAGCTTTCATGCGCAGGTGCATGAAATTTCTAACTATTTTTCAATGTTTCAACTATTTTTGCATAGGCTTAAGTACAAAGCAGTGAAAATCATTAATAGGCGTTCGTTCGATGGGCTGAATTGTACAAAACGCATGATCGCACCGACCAGTCTGGTTCGCGTTGCTATTTATTTTTTTTTATTCAGATAGTGAGATAGTAGCAGAAGTAATAACTAGCAGACTTGTAACTTAGCGTATTTGCATAATAGTGAGCGGCAGTTTTGTTGGACACCCCATGAAGATTTGTAATGAAGTGCAGTGCAGTGCCCTCGAGAGCATTGCACTGCACTCCATTATAAACCTTTATTTTTTACAAGCTTATTTGCACTGGCGTGAAAAAATTTTACCAAAATAAGTGGTGCGGAATGAACCTGATTTCGATCCGTCCTGTCGAGAAACAAAAACGCAAGGTGAATGATAATTTCTTCTCAGTAGTCAGCCTTACGCAGTCGATATTACAGATACACAACCAGCAGAACAACCTGGGCTCGTTGTCCAGAAACTTCAACAGTGTCAGAAGGTATTCGACTTCTACGACCCTGTTGCTCAACTCAAAAGCAAAGAGGTGCAGCTTATCTTTGAAGTCATTTTGAACAGGAAGTGCTTGGGTATCACCAAGTGATTGAAAACACGCTGAGTTTGTGCAACATTTTCTCACCTGAGCAGATGGAAAAATCTTTTAATGAGCAAAGTGCACTGCTAAAATCGCAGTGATAGAATATTAGAATAATGCACTGCTCTGAGCTAGCTGACATTTGAGGGAAGAAAGATTATCTCTCGTCCATCCTTTTTTAAACTGACAGGGTCGAGGAGTGGAATATCAATACATTAATACGAAAAACATTACTGCTTTTTTCTGGGATTTTTTGCTTAACGTGGGCGAACCGAATTCACAGGGTTTTACGCGAGGACTTGAACTTTGGTGGCTCGAAGGCTGCGGTGAAATGATCCAAAATCTACATGGTTTTGTTTAGGCCTTATTACTAACTGCTTCTTTAAAATGGAAAAGGCTGAAACTGACTTCTTTCTTCTAGCGCTGGATAAAAGGATTCGTTATTAGCGTGGAAGTAACTGTCCTTGAACTGCTGTCCATAAAAACTGCATGCGTTTGCCAAGCGGGTGCAGCTACGAATGAGTATAGTGTTTGACGCCGTTCAAATGGTGCAGGCTTCTCACAGGAAGTAGGTGACCACTGTGCTGTGGGGGTATAAATTCAGTCATGCAGCAGCGCTACTGTTACAGTAAGATACTGCTGATAGTAAGATACTGAGATACCTGTTTTCGGATAGTTTTTTGGTACTACTGATCTGGCGAACATATCAATGGATACTTTGCGGTTGTCCATTAATGCTAAATTTCTGTTCACTGAAGCGGGAACGCCGCGCGCAGTTACGTTAGTGCCGTGAAAGAACGCAACGATGAATGAGCAGCTGCTGATAGTAACGAAGCTTTTCTCTTTGCAGATAAAACGCGCAGCGCTGAACGAGCTGATTGACCATATTACGACAGTAAAAGGCGCTATAACGGAATCCATATATCCAGAGGTGATTAAAATGGTTTCTAAAAATATTTTCCGTGTGCTGCCGCCGTCGGACAATTCGGAGTTCGATCCTGAGGAGGATGAACCTACATTGGAGGTATCATGGCCTCATTTACAGGTAGGCATCCTGCTTATTGTAACAGAATCACTGACGTAACTTTCATTTAACTTTTTTGTTGGTAAATTTTTTGCTGTTGTCTGTGGTTTCTTCCGGATTACTAACCACGGAATTAAGGTTTATCGTATTTTAGGAGTTAAGATTTGCTATATATCATTATTCATGCTTCATTCACTGCACTCTGATTTTGCTGACAGCAGCGTCGTTATGTTTTTTTTTTTTTTCATGCAATGGGGTCTCACTTCCTTTCTGTGGGTTTATTATGCTGAACAAGGAATTTGATGTTTAGAACTGGCGGGAACGACCTTTCCAACTTAAATTCAGAGTCAAGTTTCTCGCTGTGTATCACAGATCTGTATTTCCCTCCTCCTCCCCGGCTTACCCCTCTGCCTACTCTTCCTGCTGTCCTAATCCCCGTCCTTGTTTTCGCTTCCTAACTCCAAGCAGAATCTCATGTCCTGCTTAGAGGTAGGAATTTACTTCACCCGTTTCTCCTCTGTTGCTTCTCCCCTCCCTCGTGTGACCTCATCCTGCATCCCTGGCTCCCCCAACCACCTGTACTCTTACCTCGCCACTCAAAAAAATTTGAAGTTCTAATTCAATTCTTTCTACAGTCCAAAGAGGTGTATCACCAAAAGCGCAACTCACTCCGAATCGTTTGAGAGGAACCGAGTTTTAGTAGTTGCCGTCGATGGCTCATTCTGATGGTTGCTTGCATCGTTGGCTTTCTTGGCTCTTGCTAGTTTCAGTTGTCTATCAGCTGAGCGGATGATTTGCGGAACAGTTGGTTTTCCAGTGCTCGGTCGAGTCTCTTCTTTTATCTTTTATTTACCAGTCTCATTTTTACATTTTTTTTTTTTTTAAATCAGCAATTTCAGTTGGTTTATGAGCTTTTTTTGCGGTTTCTGGAATCACCGGACTTCCAAGCTGCAATTGGTAAAAAGTACATCGATCAGCGTTTTGTGCTCAGTGTAAGTTTCTTTTTCTTTTGCATACATGCGTTAGTTTTGCACCAGCAGTGATTAGAGATCACTCAAGTTAACTAATGCAAACAATGCTTCTTCATTGTAAACTTCATATACTATATTAAAAAGACTATTAAAAAAAAAGACAAATGAGGGAGGGAGAGGCACATAGTGGACGATGCAACATTTAAAAATCGGGTCACTGCATAAGTTTGAATGCTTAACATTCTTTTCGTTGCTGCTCAAGACTGCTGTGTCAAAAAGTCTGGGATTGATTCAGGCGACACATCATATATATATACGCTACGTTTTATTAGTACAGAAGGCACAAGAAAAATATGATGAGCGAAGGGAAGAGCAATAAATGTTATAAGCTTAGCATTTCTGAGCTCGATGTAAAAGCTGGAGAGGAAAAAAGATGTCCCTAACATATATTTAAAAAGAAAAAGATTAAATTTTTCAATATTAAATGGCTTTATAAGGGCATCTCATGGCAGTTTAGCACTTGAATGCCTTTTAGTTGAGTTTTTGAGTAGTGAACTGAAAAAAAAAAGCTGCTAATAATTTTATTGGTTTTATGTATTTCAGCTGCTAGATCTTTTTGATTCAGAGGATCCACGAGAAAGGGATTTTTTGAAGACAGTTTTGCATCGTATTTATGGCAAATTTCTTGGGCTACGCGCTTTCATCAGGAAACAGATTAATAATATGTTTTTATCGTAAGTGGTTTGCGACACAATATTTTGGTTGTTACACACAAAAATTGCATCTCGAATTGAGCTGTAATTTCGTGATTATGCTTTGCATGATGCGAAATGGCAAATCTTTTACAAATCGTTTGTTTGTTCTGACGGTGAATTGATACTGATGCACATAACGTGCCGTAGAGGCCTAGTTTAAGTAGGTAACTTTCGGACGTACTTTATGTTCTTATGTTAGAATTAAGGCAGAGCCATTGAAAGCCTTACTGGTAGATGATTGCTGCTGAAGTGCATCTTCACAGTTATTGTCATCGCTTACTAAAAATAAACCACTAAAAGGACATTAATTTTTGGCGATTACAGTGGCTAATTTAATGCGTGTTTTAGTTTTGTATTTGAAACCGATTCATTCAATGGCGTTGGCGAATTGTTGGAGATTCTGGGAAGGTAAGCCCCTTGTGTTCTTCATTTCTACTCATTTAGAATATTTTTGTGATCAATCATTTCGCGTAGACAGTGTTTTTCGTGCCAGTATCAATTTCTACAATATATTTTCAGTATCATAAATGGATTTGCTCTGCCGCTGAAGCAGGAACATAAAGTATTTCTTGTGAAAGTGCTTCTTCCTCTCCACAAACCGCGCTGTTTAAGTCTTTATCATGCTCAGGTCAGTTATCATCAGTTATTTTTCGGCCATTCTTATTATATGCTTTTTGCGCATCACAACTTCAATGTTGTTGTTGAATCCGTTTACAAGTTCGCAAAATCGCTTCTTGTATCTGTCTGCATCTGAAATTGTCTTCGCGCTGTTCCTCTTTAATCGTTCGTCCCCATTCCACTGATTTAGTGAAGCTGTTTCGATGATCCTGGAGACGGAGCAGCTTTGATTTTATTGACAGGCATACTCTCGTTACCTGTTCCTGTGTTTTTTTGGTCATAGGTTTCTCATGTTGTGGGGCGTGAAGAACCATTTAGAGACAGACGGACGTTAGAAATAATCGACACAGTGCAGCTTTTTCCGGCTGAGTCAGGTGGATGGGAGGAGGATTGCACAGTACGATTGGACAGTCTAAATTGCGAATTTATACATGCCTACCAATTATCCCCTTCCCACCCCCGCAACCCCTGTCGGCTTCTTCGGGTGTTTTTATGTATGTGTGGTCGAACAGATGAACTTATTCTACACACTTTTCCCAAAATTTCTTCCATGCTTTATTACGTTATCATAGCTCTGTTTGAAAGCAGTCTATTCATTTACGGAATTAAATCAAATCAAATTCAATGGAGTTTCTCATGAAACTTCACTTAAAATAGTGGAATAGTTGTTAATTGAAAGTCTGGTCCTCCATCTGTGCGACTGATAATTTTTCGGTTGCTCTGACCAAATACTGCGTTCTGCTAACGTTCTTAGCGTTCATTTTATCTCCTAGGAAGACGCAGCTCATCAGTTTTTCCGGACGAAAGCACCTGGCATTTAATCGGAAACTATGATATTTTGTCCGGTTACATTCTTGCCACGGCGCACCTTTGTGCTGCAAACAATAAGGCCAGAGGGACAGCGAGTGTGGACAGGCTTTCCATAGCTGCTGTGACGGAAATTGCATCACCTAGTTTTCAGCTTCCTCGTGATCCTTTCATTAATTGCTTTGGTCTATTGTAATTAAG